TTCAGGGTTTTAGTCCAAAAATTTTAGTATCACTTATTGGAATATCATACTTCAAACAAAGAAGAAATCCGTGAACGTAGGGAAAATGGGGATAGGAAACTTAGCAGAAGTTGTCATTCAACGGAGGGAGGGGGGGCATGTGGTGTGCAACGATTGCTGTCGCCTATAGAAATTCCACTTTTTGCAAAAAATCCCCGAGGTATGTGAACTATTTCGCTTCCGTTGTCACACCCACTCCAGAGCTTCCTTCCTCTGCAAAAAAATTCTATTAGTCCAATATATGAACGATCGCATCACATGCTTCCTACACTGAATAACTAATGAATTCTTCTTCTGTGGGCATCATTTTACGTGCCACGTTAACATGAAAAAAAGCTTCTTTCTCTTCGGCAACCCTGCATAACCGTCTGACGAGTTTAATTTATTGCCCTGCAAGTGGCAGGCCAGTTTCAGAAAAACATCGTGCAAAGTTAGTTACTCATTGCTGACACTGACTAGCTCTTTTCTACAGCATTCGCAGAAGTGATTCATGTTTGACTCAGTTTTCCTTTTCCTCTTTTATGGGGCGGCCGTCTTGATTGCCACGCACAGACCACCTGGCTTGAGTCGATGACTTAAAGGCATGACCCACCGTCAAACTGGTGTCGTTTTTGCTTACGAATTCGAATGTATTGGTGCGAAATGGGCCGGCAGTAAAGAAAAAAGGAAAAGAATCTCGAAAACGCTTAGGTTAAGGGCTCATTACCTTCCTAATCGGCTGTGCTAAGGGAATGAGAGACTAAGCGCGGAGAGGAGAGTATGAGGCGAGAGAGCGCAAAGATGAGAGGGCGCCAGACAACAGCTAACTACAAACGGGGAAAATTGCAGCTGCTGCAGCTTGTGTCCTGGTGCCCTTGTCGGGCGACTTACATACTTGGGAGCAGGGTCAACCCTACCGTTGGGACTTTTCCAAAATTTTTTTACGATCCCCCTCCTCCATGAGTGATTTGCACGGGAGTGCCACATCTGTGATTGCCCTTTGAAGGGTACCTTACAGACCAATGTAAATTATTCACTCTTTTCTGCCTGAGCTGTCCCTTCAACCCTTCGCCTACTGTTGGTACACATGTGTACAACCCCCTTGTCAAAGGGACTACCACAGTTTTGAGACTTGGTGAGATCGATGGCGGAATTGTGCACAAGTGCAAATGTCACAATTCTCACTCTGACAACAATTCGTCATAAGTCAAAGCGAGTTACCTGGATTTAGGTTAATACGGGAAGTTGTACTGCACGTCAGCGTGCGCTGCTCGCATAAATGCAATTTCCAGAGGAAGCTTCCACAGAAAAATCATGATTCTATCTCACCTACAAATCATTGGCTTGAGACTCATCGTAAGATCGAAAAGACAAAAAATGCGTTTGTTTTGGTAAACAATTCGAAAAACTGGAAGGACTGTCACGCGTTCAAATTCCCGCCGTACATCTGTCACAAATGTTGGCGACAGGCACTAGGAACACTTTTCGGCCCTCTTCACCTATGGCAACAACACTTCTCTTTTCTAATGCATCTTATTCTTTCAATCGTTTTGTCGGTACTCCCGAAATAAAATGCTCTAACCTGATCCTTTCGATGCATCGCTTGACACGTGGCCTCTCCAAGGCGCACTTCTTTCCAGCGTTCCCTTAACTCCGCCCGACCTACCCGCGACCGTCCCCATGGTGTTGTTTTCGTATTTTTTCTTTTGGGAACTGTATCTCTTTGCGGGGAACTTTCTAGTAATCATAACTGACGCACGTACTCATGATGGGAAAGAATGCATAAATTTTCCGTGAACGCTTCCTTTAAATTCGCATACTCTTGACTTGTGCCATTGGTACAAAACCTGGTTTCTTTCGTTCAAAAATAGTGTCTTGGCTTGCAGCGTGCCTTTGTGCGTATCTTGTTACTCCGTAGAGCATATTACGTTGACCTTCTAAAATTTTTTAAAGGTTTCTCGGATTCATAGAAGACTGCATTCTTGTGAAAAAAATGTATTTGTAAGTGGATATCAGGTCGTCAATTTATGCTACAAAAATATGAATAGTACTCGAGCGGAAATGGTGTGATGACAAGAGAAGTCGTTACCGCATTCTAGTCTCTGGGACAAATCCAAGGTCAAATCAAGTGCCCCCCCCCCATCGAAACAGATGGCAAATGCGCTTGTGAAACTAGTAGCTTAAAATGAGTTTTTCTTGAATTGTTTTCCTTGGTTATTTAAATTTACGCAGCTGCCCAATTTCACTGTTAGACGCTGGAAGCAATAGTGAAATTTGATTTTAGGAAAAACTAGAAAGGGATGAAAAGCAAAAAGTAATAATAAGCAAAGCAAAAAGTAATAATTTGCGAATATCAATTTTATCAATATGAAAATTGTTTCAGGTGATAGCGATGTGTGTATTGTGCCAATATCATCCCGAAGCGAAATCGAAGGCACTGAGGGCACCCTCTCCGCATTGGTCACGTCTCCTCACGGCAAGGACCACAAGATTGTCTTCTACCGCAACATCAATGTCTTCTCATTTGAGCTGCTCGAGTAAGTTTCTCACCCGAATACATGCACACATAATATCAAGTTTAAAAGTACGGGTGGGAATCTAATTGGCTATTTTGCTCAGTAAATAATGACAGAAGCGTAGTGAGCAACGTTGCTGAGTAGAAAAAGCAAAAAGTGTCATAGAAAACACGGAAATCCCCCTTGTGAGGTCAACTGTAGTACAACGGAAAGACAGTGCTGTGGGGGGGGGGGAATGAGAGAGAGTACGTTGTGTGTGAGAGGGCGCAGAACACCCACATAACGCCGCGACTGCTAGGGATGGCAGCAAATGGGCACAATACACTGCAAGGCCTTAGCCCATCGCGACAGTGTCGCGCCTCCTGCCATGGAATGCACTGCTTTCCTCCAGTTGCGGAGGGTATTTTGACACGTCTCCCGACCCGTGCTTTAAGTCCACTTAAGGCTGATGTCTCGCATACAACGATATTGTTTTACCCATTGAACTTTCTGTCTGTTTTTAATTTTTCCATTTATTCTACACGACCAGATTCTCTCTTTCTCCAAATACATAGGAGAAAACCTCCGACGAATAAAACAAGAAGTTTCACCAAAGATTACTGAAGCCGGGTCATGCTTGCGCATTTTGCAGCACGTCTCGACGACATTCAATCACTTATCGCCTGGACGAGCTGCTCTGTGTACGTACGACCTCAGTGAAAATAAAGAGTGGACTCCCCAGTTATACCCGAGAATAAGGTAATCTTTGTTTTTTTTTTTTCGCTTTGGAAGAACTTCTGTTAACAATATCTTGAACAAGCCAATTGATAACCTGTTACATGTTGGTTAATCTTTTCAAGCAGTCATAGTTACCATTCCACTTTTCAACAATCATTACCCCCATGATTCCACCAATTCTTGTTCCACACATTCCGGAATATTGTTAACTCGGGATGTTGTTAACACTGATAATAGTCGCCTTTATGTGGCACATAACAGCTGTCCATCAATGATAATGGCTTTTGTTGTGGATCTGTGGCTGCGCTTTTCTATCAGGAAATGAGGTTTTGATGTTGGCCTCTCCGCTGGGGCAGCGATCGTTGCAGCTTCGCGAGATGTGGCTTCGCAATGATAGGCCGATAGTTTGGAAACAGCGTATCTCAAGTTCTCTCGAGAGCTCGAAAAAGACCGACCCTTTTTTTCCACAGCTTCAAGATATCATGCTCGCCTGTTCCCCGCCTCCTCCTAAATCGCTTCGTCGATCGTCTCCACTTCTTTGGGCACCTTTACAGCTAGCTTAATCATCAGGATCTGATGGAATCTTGTTTGTTTGTTTTTTGTTGTGTTTGTTGAATGTTTGTGGAATCTGGAAGACAACTACAAATATCCTTCGTTAGATGATTATTTTCCACTTGGAGCAACTTCGTTCCCACCCCTATCTGGCCTCCACTTCTTTTTTTCTTTCAAGGGTGAAAGAAGAGCCACAAAGCTGTAGGGGATGGGTCAAAGCGTACCCCTGGCCGCCCCCCTCGCCGGGGGGGGGCGGTAAAGGCAGTTGTGCCTGTAGAAGCTTTATGTTGTGTGATCCACCTTTTTTTCACACCTTCAGTTTTGAGAGATATACGCCTCACGAATAGCGATTTTTTCGATCCCTCCCTTCATTGGTGATCATTTTCTTAGTTTTGAAAAGGACGTGGTGCAACCTTCTGAGTTCGGTAGTCGATATTCGAGGATTTTTTTCATGTTTGTGTTTTTTTGTTTATTTGTTAATTGTTTTTTTTTTGCGTTTTTTCTTCGTGTTTTTTATTGATGGGTTTGGTTACGTACGTAGGTGTTTAAAAAAAACCTAATTGCAGCCTGAAACGACTCTTCGTACTCTATACTTCTATTTCGTCTACAAAAAGGACAAATATCGTTGGCGCCTCAAACAGATCCCGGTAGTGTTCAGCAATAAAGCAGAACGAGATTACTGGCAACAAACTGTCACAACAACTCTTTTGGGTGAGTTCAGCGTCTCAGCGATTTGTGCGAATGTTGACCACCAAAAAATGAAGTTTGCAGGTGTTCGAAATCGCCCGAAGAATATCATCGTCTTCATCAATCCGTTTGGAGGCAAAGGCAAGGCGAAAGCGATCTTCCAAAAAAATGTTCGTGGGGGTTTCTAGTTTAAACCAAGGACCTCAAATCAGTCCGTATTTTAAGGTTGAGCCATTCTTCAAAATCACACCAGGTCTTCGCTTTCGAAGTGATCATGACTGAAAGAGCTAACCATGCCAGAGATTACATTATCGAAATGTCGCCGGAGAAATGGGAGTCCATAGATGGCTTGGTAAATCTGGCATTTTACTTTCCTTTCTTATTCCAATAGAACATCATTTCACTGCATATCAAAATTGCCAGTGGGTATTGCGAAAATCTGTTATCCTTCTATATGCAGCGACAAAGCGACGGCTAAGGTCTTGAAAGACTTAGTGCTGAAAGAACTGCGTGATGAATGAATGCTTAAAGGCATGCCCCAGGATCGCACTGGTGTGGCTCTTGCACACGAATGCGTGAATGTATTGGTGCGAAATGGGCCGGCAGTGAAGAAAAAAGGAAAAGAATCCGTCGAAAACGCTTAGGTTAAGGGCTCACTCACCTTCCTAATCGGCTGTGCTAAGGGAATGAGAGACTATGCGGGAGGAGAGTATGAGGCGAGAGAGCGCTACAGATGAGAGAGCGCCAGACAACAGCCTGATAAGAAAAAAATCTGCAGCTTGGGCAGCTTACTTTGCAAGGCCCAAGCGCTCTTGTCGGTCGGTTTCCGTGCACGGGAACGCCACATTTGTGATTGTCCTCTAGGTCTATACTGGCACAGACCGAAGAGAAGCGTTCACACTACCTTTGCCTGGGTTGTGCCTTCAAAGGCACAAGAGCCACACCAATGTGATCCTGGGGCATGCCTTTAAGGGGGAGATGTTCTTTAAGTGGACCTTTACTCCTCGTTTTCAATGTTCTGAGTTGAGGCTGATATTTTTTGCATGAATTTTCTACTCTTTGATTTAAAAATGCATCTCCTGATAATGGCATGCTTGGATTACATTGTTTAGGTTTCCGTCGGAGGCGACGGACTTTTCAACGAATTGCTCTCTGGTGCTCTCCTGCGTACTCAAAAGGATGCAGGTTAGTCGCTGTCGCCACGTAACCCTTCCATTGTGCCACATAAATTTGGCTTCCAGGAACGGATATCGATGATCCTGACTCGGAACATCTGCAAACTCCACATATTAGATTTGGCATCATTGGTGCCGGATCGGCCAATTCCATTGTGAGCACTGTACACGAGACGACCGACTATGCGACCGCAGCTGTTCACATCGCAATTGGTGAGGCAAGCTTTTCAAACTTTCAGCGAAGGGGAGGCTTAAAGGGTTTTGGCACGAAAAACCGGTTCAAGTGTCATAGAAAGACATGTACAAAGTCCCCGGGCAAAAAAGAATGAAATTCTGTGAAAAGCAGCCCTTGTATAGGCCGGCCTTCCCTGGACGGGTCCTCTTAAAAAGGTGTAGCTAAAGGGCTGATGGTTACTCAAAAGGAAACAGATCTAAGGGCTTCTGAAAGGCGGCACATGTATGAGAGTTCCAAACAGAACTACACAGATTTTAAATTGTCTAGCTTTACGGTTGCACAGAAGTCCTGAAGCGGGCTGATAGGGGAAGTAAGCTGGTGACGTGTGCTATGTGCACGCCATTTTGATGATCTAATGTGGTAACTTGTCCGAATTAAGCGACCAACACGTATACGAGTGCGCCTCTGCTTGCCTCGCTCCGCCTCCCCTGCCCCCCCCCCTTCGCAAGTTCAAATTCACTGCGACAGTTAGGCCGAATTAAGATTACTTAGAATCTGTTCAATTATGCTTCTTTTTGATCGAATGGAGCTCTATTTTCCGCTCTTTGTTCTCGTGAGGCATACCACTTAGGTGTCGTGATTTTCGATGTAGATGAAGTCTCGCGGTTTCTGTGCACTGTGCCTTTAAGTTCAGACTTGTCACCTTTATGTGCTAGAGCTCTATGTAAGGGCCTGGCTCTATGTAAAGAAATTGCGCTCTACACAAGAACGCGATTTCTTTACATAGAACCATTCGAAGAACGTACTGATCATACATAAAGGTCTTCTGTTTGATAGGTTCGGAGTGTAATGTGGACGTTTGTACGGTGCACGAAAACAACCAATTATTGCGAATCTCGGCAAATGCGATCTCATACGGCTGGCTGGGCGATGTACTTCGAGACTCAGAACGCTATCGATGCCTTGGTCCGATACGATACCAATGGAGTGGTAAGTCCGTCCCTCTCACTTCTTACCGGCCGACCTTTCAGCCCATATCCTTACAGCCTTGCGAACCACAATTCGGCATCCAATTTATCGAGGAAAAGTATCATTTACGCTGTCACGAAAAGAAACCGAAGATCCGAAAGCCGTACTGCCCTCTTGTCTGAAGCCATGCATGACATGTGATGCGCTGAACAGGTAAGTGAATTCGACCCTTAAAGGCACAGTCCATGATCTAACTGATGTATTATTACACTTGCAAGTGGCAGTGAAGATGTGAAGTGTAACGCCAGAAATGGCAAATCGGGAGGAAACCGTCAGAAAGGCCTTAAATAAAGCCCTTCCTCCAATAGCAGCAAAGCGAAATAGCACTGATTTGGGGGCGGGACCAATGCTGCACCCTAGGGCCTTAAAGTAACACTCCCAGTGGAAGTCGTGTCGAAGAATTCATTTAGTGGTGGGAGGGTAGCCCACGAGTAGCACAGATGTGCCGTTGTCGCGGCTCGAAAGTGCGCGACAATGGCGCTAGGGTCTTACAAAGTCAGCATTTGGCGACTAATCTTAGCATTTGGACGAGTTACGTAGCGCACACCCATGACACGCAATGGATTACGGCGTAGCGGCTAATTCAGATTCGGCGACTAATTCGCACGGGTTAGTTGAGCCGTGGAGCAGGCAAGTTCGTACAACTCGTCCGGCCCGCCCCTTCCTTATTTCAGGGGAATTTGTTTGGGCTTCATCGACGGTTTTCTTTGCTTCTTTTTTCATTTTTAGTCAATTCGGCATCCACAACTTCATTATCAACCGCTGTGACCCCAAAAATTCTATCAGGAGGTGTTGCTTTAAAGCTTCCTCCTTGTCGAATGATCCCCAAAGTCGTGTACATGCTTTCCGCTTGCGTACCGCTGCACTTTCCTTGGCACCTTTCTGGAGAAAAAAGCTTAATTTCAACCAGAAATCACGGACCCTGCCTTTAAAAACAATTTCGGCTTTTTTTTCAATTTCTATGGGCTTCAGTGATTCATCGCCCACGACGACGTCATCCCCGCGTTACGACTATCACTGGCATGCTGAATTCACGCACGTCATCTGTTGCGTGATTCCCACAGTCACGCCTTTTACCCCCTACGGCTTGGCCCCCTTCACAGGTACGCGATTCTTCATAGGGACTTTATGGACAAAAATCCCAATTTTCTTGTTCAGGAATAGGAGGATGGCACACTGGATTTAGCTCTGGTTCCGAAGATTTCCAGATGTCATAACATACAATTCATGCGAAAGGTTGCTATGTACGGAGGGAAAGGGGTGGGTTTTCTGAATCGGGTTCTGAAATCGAGGGGTACCCGACAAGAGGCCCGTCGCATAGCGAGAACGCAGAGACGCAGATGGGCAGCGGACGAGTCGCAGCGCGTGGTTTGTGCTGTGGGCGTACCATAGTACACTTGACGCGAAATCACTGCAGTGCGCGCTGCGACTCGTCCGCTGACCCCTCTGCGTCTCTGCCTTCTGGCTGCGCGACGAGTCTACTGCCGGGTACCCGAGGTTGAGATAAGGTCTAATCTCGGATATTTTAGCTGTACCAGCTGGACAGGACGTTGAACTGTTTCCGAGTGCTGAGATGGTCATTCGAGCCAGATGCCGATCAAGAAGATCCGGGTGTTTGGAACCTGGATGGCGAAATTCTCGAGCAACCCAGAGGGAGAGCGCTGCATTTCAGGTATCCTCCACCTCTACTTCTTATCTCTCAGCCGTTCAAGTGTTCCTTTTTCAGGCTCCATCCGCAGCTGATCAGCTTCTTCGGTCGTGACGCAGCGATGGTTGAACCATCGAAACGCGTCAGCTTTGTAAAGAAGAGGAAATCCAGTATTGTCTACAACTAACTACCGCAGCTATCCCTGACATCTGTTACATTGTTATGATGATACAGCCTAGTCATTTGTTGTTGTATATAAATCTTAAACAAAGGGAATGAGCTTCCTGTGACGAATTCCACATTGCTGCCTTTCACTCCTTATGAGAATTTCCCGAGGAGAACTTCGTATTCCTCACTGTCATGTTTGAGGTTGTTTACGTAATGACTCAATCCTTATGCGTATCAACTTGTTATTCAGACATAAATATCAATTTAACTCGATTAACAGATAGTCAAAGATATATGGTTACTGATAAGAGATCTATCAGTTTGTGTCAGAACAATGCTCTATTTCACCTCGGATGCCCCAGTGAAAAAAATAATGCCGCCATCCGTACTCCATAACACTCGATCGGCTTAAGCCGTTTGGACACGGTGAGCACACGAAGTCAGCGTGAGTTGTGATGTTCCCATCGCAGGACACATACGATGCGCATTCTCCGCGCTTCTCCGGATTTAAGGCACAAGCAATCGCAGTCAATGAGCGTCAGTGCGTAGCCGCATTCTAGTGGACTGCGGCCAGGGAACATCTATTCACGCTACTTTGTTGTGACACCGCTGTCTAAACGGCCGGTATGTCCAAGCTCGATCGACTTTGCGTTCGATTCGGACGAACTTCACCATCCGGGGCGGTTAGGGCTCAGAAACCACTCCTGGTACGACCAAAAAATCGAATTCGATCTGAAAGCGGGTTGGCTCAATATTGAGAAACCTTTGAAAGGTACTTGAGAGTTGGATCTCCGGAAAGGTGAGGGGGCAATAAAAGTCGCTCACCCTCCCTACTAAAAACGTAATAATTACACTTTGCCACATTCCAAACCGAAATCAGAAAACTTCATAGTATCTTTCTACCGACGCCATCAGAAGATCTTCCCACAAAAACATGATGCGCGGTTCGAAGTCAGTGAAGTCATCGACTTTATCCGAAACGCTGGTCGGGGTCTGGCACAGCCAGATCTACTCCCAGAAAGCTATCCGTCAGTTACCCATGAAGAAATTATGTAGCAGCTTCAGGCTGGAGCGATTACGGTAGGCCTCTTGAGCTCGACGGTGATGGCAGATGACGTCATATTCTGAGAACGGTGAGAGCAGCGAAAGCAGCGGACGAGGGCCTGCTTCTGCCTCTGAGGAAGAGGAGGCGGAGGAGGAACGACATCGAAGGAATATTCTGCCGTAAAACTTTCATCAACATCGGAACCCTATGCGACGAAAAGTTTGATCGGAACACAGGACTTCCACTACCCCCTCTCCCCGCCCTCCTCCCGTTCATTAGCGCATTCTCGGAAGGTCACTACCTTGTTTGCAGTTTTGAGCTCAAAGCTCGAGGTATTCTGGGAAAGGTCTCTCGCTAAACGCGACTGACAAATTAGCTTTATCTCTTCCCCTTTGCATATACAACTTTAGAGATTAGCCATCTGCTGTGCAAAAACTTCTCAGCTCCTTAATCCATGAGCGGATCTCCCAGCTATGCTCACGACGCTTCAGAACGGCTCATATTCGAAGGTGCTTACATTCTCGTCGTCCTAGTCTGTCAAAGCAAGACGAGCGAAGATGCAGCAGTGCTGTGCTGTGCAATGCGACAGATCATGACCTGACGTACAAGACTTAGCAGCTGGGGACAACGCCCAGTTGTTGAATTATTGACGATTTAGCGGGAACAAGTTTTTAAAACCCTACCCGTCATGAATCTCTTATAAAATAAGCTCTGTAGATATCTTGTTTTCTTAGAAGCGCGACCAGTGACTCAGTCTAGTTACTGAAAGCAGAACAAGGACAGAGCAAAAGAACTGTGCCTACAACAGCCATCACTCGTTAGCGCTGAAGTTGTCATGAAGCCTTCTTTCACTGAGCTCGGCAGGGAGCTTACCATTAGGCTACGTGCAAAAACGTTAGCAAGCACTTATGAGAAAAGCGTAGCCCTAGTCTGTGATCAGCAGATTATTTAGTTCGGCTTCCCATTAACCACTTGGCAGGAATTCACTATGGTAGAGCAGATCAAAGTGGAGAAACGCCGTAGTGATTGCAATAAAGGTCGCCTCACACCGCTTTCTGTTTACCTCGAATTCAATCGTCTCCTTTTTAACCCTTTCCCTTTCTTGAGCTACGGCACAAACAGGTGCTAAATCTACCGTATCCTTCGGTATGTTTTCTGTTCCTGCCCTACACCTCGCCAATCTCTCACGTTCACTTATCCCTCTTCCCCCACGCTACTTCAAAGACGAATTATGTCTCCTTGTGAAATCGTCAAGATGAGACCTTGACATTTTTCACAATCACAGTCATTATGTTACAGTATATGATAGGCAATGTTTCAGCATTATTATGATATCGACACCATAACGATCACATTAATATTATCAACAAATTTCTAGCATTGATGACACACTGGTTCTGAAACGATGCTCGTCATGCCATTCCAATTATCAAAATCAAAATCATTCTCAATTCACACTCGTCATCGCGTTCACGCACTCACAGCCAAACAGAGGCATAGAGCCATCTTAGGTGGGAAACGTAACGTAGGAGAGTGACCGAATTAACCAGTTGTTATCAGGAATTC